GAAGGTCATCCACGCAATTCCCGGCTATGAAACGTTGAGTGACTTCAACTGTCTCACGGAGTGGGAGAAAGATCAGGTCATCTCTCAGTTTCGAAGAAAGCACCATGTCACAGGGGACGACGCCAACATGGGCGCTGATGCTGATGCCCAACCAGGTGACGAGTCGCCGACTCACCCTGGGGAGGAGGAAGCTGATGAGCCAGCAAACGACCCTACTGATGTGGTTAGGGACTCAGAGATTTCCGGAAAACAACAACTCCTGGATGCGTTGGGAAAACTCTTCACTGTCTCTGAGGATGTCAATATGTGTTTGTACTGTGGTAGCGCCAAACATGGTCATCTCGAATGTGAAAATGAGAAGAAGGATGAAGTCAGAAAGGTGCTAAAGGCCGTCCGAGCGTCGCTCGAGGCTGATAGTCCTACATCTGATGACGTCGAGATGGAACCACCTGAGCACAGAAAGGACGGATCAGGTGCTACGGAAGGGTCAGGGCAAACGGATGAGCCTACAAAACCAAGGTTTGGTGAATACCAGTGGTACGACAGCATCAGGACTATGTCCGAAGTCGGAGACCTGGATGAATATGGTAGGTTTTGTATTGAAGGGCGTGATGTTACCAAGCTGGGACCCCAAAATATCGTTGATCTCAACGAAGTGATCCGGGACGCCATTGTCAGAGGAGGAGGTGACACTTGGTCAGTACCAGAGTTCCTCGCAAACTACTCCGACAACAACATCAGAAAACCCTTCTACAAACGGATCGAAGCGCCGCGGGATGGTTTCTTGAAAATCATCCCCACGACGGGAGCCCACTTCTTCAACTGCTTCTACTTTGGCGGTGTGGAGTATGCGGCAAACTATCGCTTCGAAACCGGTAATCGGCTCGACAGCTATGAGGACAAGGTGAGCACCTCACTGAACAGGATCCTACGACACAATGTGGGGAAAGCCTCAGAATCACAAAGCTTGTTTTGTGACGATGCCGGCTGGGTACCCATTGAGGAAGTACTCAAGTGTGAGTCAATCTGGAGACATGAATACCAGCGTTGGCCGCATGTCTTCCTCGCCCCCAAAGGGAAAGCAAACGATCGAAATGCATGGAACGTGCAAGAGGCGAGCAAACGCATGGCGTTGCTGTTCAAGATCATGTTCCACTGTGCCCGATATGGACGTCGTGTACGTGAACAAATCTTGGCATTCGGGATCAACAAGGACATTGATCGCAACAGCCTGACATGCATTGACAACAACGTCAACGCGGACACGCCTATTCCCGACGAGGGGCTATTGCTCTATCCAGTTGCAGTTCGCGCTCCAACGGGGCACAAGGAAGGATCCTCCAGGGACGACGTCTTGTTGATGTCCTCCTTGCTCTCGCATCCGATTGCGCCCAATACCATCATGTCATTGCCGGTTTGCTTCCACATCACGAAGAAGACCAACCTCCGAAGCATTTGGAGGGAAGGACTAATTCCTGGAGGTCTTGGAGAAGGTCATCGTATGTTCACGTTCTTCAATCCATACGTGCCGTGGGATCATCGCTCATGGACTATCACGAAGAGCGTTGACACACGAAAAGGGGACTACATCTGCCTCTTCATCCCGACCGAGACCCTGATGGTGGAGTATGGTGGTCGATTGACGGATTCGGGACAGATCGTTTCGCCAAAGATCATCCCGTTATCAGCGATCAGAGGAGGATGGATTCAAGATCCAAAGGATCAAAACAACAAGACATGGCTCCGGTTGTTCGTTCCGTCGGGCGACGACCAGGTAGTCCGGTCAGGCACTGTTAAGTCAAGAACTGTCGCCACCAAGGAGTCCATTCTGAGGATCGCAAGTCAATGCATCGACGCCGAAAAGCAACCGTATGACGAGATCACCATGGATGCAATGAACATCGTCCACCAATTCAGGAACAATCTCATTGAAGCTGGTGGACAAGAACAATACCTCGCCCGCATCAAGCTGATCGACTACATCGTCGAGCGCAAGAGGGTGGAAACTTCAGGTTGCCGTCATTGCCCTCATTGCCTCAATGAGACGCCGACGAAGTTGGCAGTATGTCTAGGATGCTGGACAGAGCTTGAGAGCTGTGGAATTCGACCATATAGATTACAAGCTCCTGAAGACGATGAGGACGAAGCCACAAAGAAAAGCTCGACGAGGAGGTTCGCCGACAGGAAGAATCGTTGTTCGAGGATACGGTCCACCAAGCACAGGAAAACGTACCTGAATCCAACGATTATGGCTTCAATCCTGACGAAGTCGACTACAACGAAGGCGATGACGAGGAAATGGCTCAGGAGGAAGAGACTCAGCAGGAAGACGACGAGATCGTTGAAGAGGACGATGATGATGACATGAACGTCGAACCTGAGAATGAGCCTTCATCCAACCTGCCAGTATGGACCAAGAATCTTGTGCCTGGAAGCAAGGGTTTGCCAGGAGATGGTCTAGTAAACAATGATGTCTCCGAGGCCGCGGCTCACTTGTACGACAATGCCGTGATGTCAAAGATCATCGCAATGTTCAGACTCTACTACAACCAGAGAGTCACTTTGACCCCAGAGGATTACTATGCGCTGATGACAACCACCAAGCGAGTCCGACTGGACCTGGACGACTTCTGCCCCTACACGGGCGAAGATCAGGACGGCAAACTCAAGCGACCGACTGAGCAGGAATTGGACGCACTCTTTCAGGAGAAAGGGAAGAAGAACTCATGGTCAGAGGGAGAATTGATGTACTCTGGGCGGCCGAGAAACATGATGATGCCTGTCATCAAAACTCTAGAAGTTTACGGAAAGATGATGGAGTTTCTCATCTGTGCCGGGTACACTCCCGAGTCCTTAGGTTTCCTCATGCCAATGACGAAGATGCAGGGAGATGCGAAGGAGAAGCAGGAGATGAGGGTGAACATTAGCAACTTCCTCCGACGATTGATGAAGGGAACCTTTCCCGAATATGAGTCATACACCTTCTTTCGTTCCGGGAGCCACGGCTTCCCCAACTGCATTGAACTCCCAGCTTTCTCGGTATATCTGAGTCTGAGAGAAAAGGAACAAAGGGTGGAACTACTCTTCGCTGCCCAACAATGCGGTATTCCATTACCTCGCAACTTCATCGGCAAGATGGCTTACGCCATTCAACTCGCTGAGTCCGAGGCGATGAGGGGAAAGTCCGACATGAAAACAAAGATGGCTCCGAACCTAGGGGACGAAGTGGTAAGTGAAGTATTCAAAGCAGTCGGGGACAGTGCCGCCACCAAGCGTGCCGCTGCAGACGCGAAGGCCAGATCATCAACACAGCCTTCACAGAAACCCGAAGATACTGGTTCAGCGTCATCATCGGCCAGTGCACCAAAGGCTAAGGCTATGCCGAAGTCTTATGAACCACCTAAAGCACCACCTGCGAAGCCTCCATCGCCGAAAGCTGCTCCGAAACGTGCGGCAGGTTGGGAGAAATCTCAAACGACACCTCAATGGAAGAAAGTCCGCCGTGAGGAGTAAATCAACCACCTCTGTCCATCCAAGTGATCACTGGACTATGAGATGTGTATCGTCTTTGTGAACAGATGATCAGGAAAAGACCAATTGAGAGGACTCTGAGCGAGGCAGTAGACTAATTCGCTTAGGTTCCATATTCTCACTATTCCCAATCTGCACGATTTTCTTTTAGCAATGTGCACGTGAATTCACTAGTTAGCATCAATTGCTATTCTTGGTGGAGCAGTCAACTTCCGTCGTCGATGGAGTGACTTGCGAAGCCGTAATCGTAGGGTAGCTGCAAGCTAGTGATAATTTGCGTTGTACAGCTCGAACTTGCGCTGACGCATTGCATGCCATAGAGTAGGCAACCCCGGATCCACTACGCTCGTCGGGTGTGGGTGAAGGGGGAGCTGAATGGATTTGCGTGTATAAAGGCGTAATTCGTGCACCACAAATAATATAATTCAAAGTTCCCACTCTCGTGCCTGCGGTGCGAAGCCACCTTAGGCATGGGGGGTGCTAAAGGGAACTAAGCGGTACTGCACACATGTATAAGCATGTGGAGTAGGCCTGACATGACGCCAAATATTTGGCTCAAGTCGCAAGGGAAAACAGTGTTTGCGCCGCTCAGCTATGCTGCCTGGGCTCCGGCTACTGGAACGTTAGGGACTCCAACAACAACAATCAGATATCCGGGAACAAGGATTAAAATTGTTCACATATATATATATATGTATACATAGATGATTGAGGTTATTTGTGACTCATGGATTGCCCAGAAGTTTGTAGTGATAATCCACAAAGGTAGGGCTAATCCAACCAGCTTTTGGAATGATTCTGGCATCAGCTTGCCGAAAGATTTACTGTAAATGGAAGGAAGTGCGCAAGAGGGGCTATAGAAATTGAACTCATTTCATAATATATATATATATATTTATATAAAGGCATATCACCAAAGTTGGATGGTTTCATAGTAGAAGTGACCAACTTGATCTGCAATGCGGGTCTCGCAATCTGGCGCGCCCAAACCAAGGGATTCCGTATGGTACCAATGGTATCGGTGATCCCCCAAGAACAGTAGCAATGGTGACCACACACTTACAGGAAACCATGATTTTCCCCAGAACATCTAATGGGATCCTGCATGTTTTGTCAGAAAAAAGTCTGAGATTCAAGCATGCGTTTTAAGGTGAGGTGCATAGTTTTTGAAGATTTCTGACATGTTTTGCAGACCGACGTTGGCCATGGTAGTATTGACCCATCTCGTTTTGGCGTCCTGTGATTTTGACCCATACTTACACTTCAATCAAGATTTTGCAGGTTTAACCTTTACTCCCAATTGTTGGTAGGACTTTTTAGTGGTGTTTTGCAGATCATTCTGTTTAGATCGTGAGAGTTCGCAACCATTTGAGTAGTTGAATAATTAAATCCCCAATTTTGGTTAGTTAAACTCCGCCTTTCTTGTTGGTTCAAGCTCTAATATATATCATCCAGTTGTGTCATCGCAGGAGAGCATCCTGGGACGAAGCTGAAGGAAAGTGAGTATGGCACCCGCTCTCAGAGTTCCATCGAGAAGCTTCTGAGAATGTCTGGTTCGAATGTAAAGCGGGGGAACTTTTGAGGATGTTCTTGGTGAACTTAGAGTGCCTTTTTCTCATGGAAATGATATGGAACAAGTTGTGAAGCCATCGAGCGGATTTTTATGAAGACTGCATGTTTTCTAGTTTCTTTTAGCATCATTTAATATCATTTATATACATATATATATTGTATATAACTTGTTGGCTCAGGAGGTACTTGAACCCTGCGGTGACGACCTGAATTGACCCGAAATCAAGTCAGGCCATGAGATTCGATCCATACTCTGCAGATAACCGAAAGTGCGTGTGTTCCTTTCACGCCCGGGATCCCAGGATATCCCAGGGGTTCCATCCTCGGGCGTTACCTTTGCGACCACTTCTGGTCGCTGGTTTCATGTCTTTTTCTGAACCATGACTCCCAGGGTCTCTATGATGTCTTTGCATCCCAGAATCAACACCCCCATACCCACTCAACCCACTCATGTTCGCCCAGGATTGGCAAATCCCCAGTTCAAAAAAGGGGGGGACCAATTCTTGTAGTAATTCAGGATTATTTTGGGGTTAACAGCGTAACCCCCCAGTTATTATCCCCCATTCCTCAAGCTTTCAGCTGCAGCATGCGCAAGATGTGTTTGGATCCAGGGCACTACTTTCTGTGACATGCATTAAGAGATGTATGTGTATCTATCTATAGATGTGTGTAGACATGAACATATAGATTATATATAGATTATATATATATAGTTATATATATAATTATATATATATATAGTTATATATATATAGTTATATATATATAGTTGGAGCACGGCCTTTATCTGGCCGTGCGTTTTCGTGCACATTGGGGGGGTGGGGTGGGGTGGGGTGGTGTGGGGTGGGGTGGGGCATGTGTTAACGTTCATGTGAACTTGCTAGGTAAGTGGACTCGTCTCTGTGTGTGCCGTTATGTGCGTGTAGACATGGGTGGGGTGGGGTGGGGTGGGGCATGTGTTAACGTTCATGTGAACTTGCTAGGGAAGTGGACTCGTCTCTGTGTGTGCCGTTATGTGCGTGTAGACATGGGTGGGGTGGGGTGGGGTGGGGTGGGGCATGTGTTAACGTTCATGTGAACTTGCTAGGTAAGTGGACTCGTCTCTGTGTGTGCCGTTATGTGCGTGTAGACATGGTCTTGAAACACAAAGACCGTGGGCATTCAACGATGCACCCGTCAGTAACGCAATATGTGTTCATGTGGTGCTGGCGCTCCACCCTGGACAATCCAGATCCCCAAAGGTTCCTGGAAGAACTCGAACAGTTGCTGTGAGAAAAAAATCAATCAGAAAATGTCCGCTGGAAGTGCGATCAGTTTCTTTGGTTTCAACATCATTTACTTGTATGAATGCCTGTCTTTGGTTATAGGTAGCTGTTCGATGCAAGTGAAGGTCCGTTGCAAGGTCGTCTGGCAGGTTGTGCCAAATTCATTTATACATAACATGTTGAAATCCAGGTCGGTTGCAATTTCGTCTGGCAGGCTGTGCCAACTTCATCAATACATAACATGTGGAATTACAAAAAAATGCGTTTTCGCCTAGGCGAAATACTTGTTTTTCCATTTCATGCACCAGAAAAAGGGGGTTCTTGTCTTTGAACTCACATCAAAACAATACAGGTCGAATTAGTTGGGGAGTCCTGAGAAACATCAAAAATGATAGTTTCGCTGATAGTTTCGCCTAGGCGAAACGCTAGATTTTGATTTTATGCACCAGAATCAGGGTTTTCTCGCCTTTGAAATCACATCAGCCAAAATCCTATTGGCACGACCACATCAAACATCATCCATGACACCCCGTTGATCACAAAAACACCACGGCCAGATAAAGGCCGTGTTCCTAGTTATATATATATAGTTATATATATATAGTTATATATATATAGTTATATATATAGTTATATATATAGTTATATATATAGTTACATATATATAGTTATATATATAGTTATATATATATAGTTATATATATAGTTATGTATATAGTTATATATATATATAGTTATATATATATAGTTATATATAGTTATATATATAGTTATATATATAGTTATATATATAGTTATATATATATAGTTATATATATATAGTTATATATATAGTTATATATATAGCTATATATACATATATATAGTTATATATAGTTATATATATAGTTATATATATAGTTATATATAGAGTTCTATATATATATTGTTGTATATATATAGTTGCTGGCGGGACCACAGGTCGCCTGGCTGTTGTTTGCTTGTGGTGGGGGGGGTTGGGGGGGGTGGGGGGTGGGGGCGTAATTACGTTCCTTTTTCTGCGTTCGCCTGGACTTTTTTTTGGTAGCTATTTTTATGTTACGCTTGCACGCTGCCTCATCATCTTGCACGCAACATGTCACGCTACGCTTGCACGCTGCCTCATCATCTTCCACGCAACACGTCATGCTACGCTTGCACGCTGCCTCATCATCTTGCACGCAACACGTCATGCTACGCTTGCACGCTGCCGCATCATCTTGCACACAACACGTCATGCTACGCTTGCACGCTGCCGCATAATCTTGCACGCAACACGTCATGCTACGCTTGCACGCTGCTTCATCTTGGCATCAAGCTTGGATGACTGCTGGCAAACATCTGGGCATCAAATGCTATCAGGTGTCACACCAGCGAAAAGAGTTTTGCCGCTCTCTCTCCGAAGTTGACCCCAAGCTTTCCAAGAAAGCTGGAACACAAGTCATTGACAGAAAGTGGAAGGCATTGAAAGACTTTTTGCCAAGCAACTACCACCGAAAGATCAATGGCCCACATGGCAGCCAGGTCAACCCTCTGATGAGAAAGCGCGTCTTTCAGTTTTGCTGGCGCAATTCGCTGCAATCGCCCAGCCCAGCACAGTTCTTAAAACACCCGGCAAAGTTGCAATGCAAAAAAAAAAGTAGCGGCGTTAGTTTTCAGGATGATGAAAACTTGCCACCTTTGCCTGACGTCTGATTTCCAATGTGCAGAATACCTGGATAATGGTTTCGTAACCAGGCGACTCATGGTCCCGTGACCATATATTTATATATATAGTTATATATATATATAGTTGCATATATATATAGTTATATATATATAGTTGCATATATATATAGTTATATATATATATATTTAGTTATATATATAGTTGGACCATGGCCTTTAGATGGCTGTGGTGTTTTGTTGACGTTGGAGGGGGTGGGGTGGGGCATGTATGCGAACTTGCAGATCAAGCACATGCTACGCTGTGGCTGCCGGCAGGTGCATGTATTCATGGGTGGGGCGGGCTGGGGGGGGTCATGTATTAACGTTCATGTGAACTTTTAGATGAAGGACATGCTACGCTGTCGCTGCCGGCAGGTGCATGTATTCATGGGTGGGCTGGGGTGGGGCATGTATTAACGTTCATGCGAACTTGCAGATGAAGGACATGCTACGCTGTGCATGTATTCATGGGTGGGGTGGGGTGGGGTGGGGCATGTATTAACGTTCATGTGAACTTGCATCCTGCTACGCCGCTACTGTAAGTTCTCTTGAACTTTGCACTCATACGTACGTCATGCTACGCTATCATAACTTCTCTTGAACTTTGCACTCATATGTCATGCTACGCTACTGTAAGTTCTCTTGAACTTTACACTGATACGTCATGGCACGCTAGTGGAAGTTCTTTTGAACTTTACACTCATACGTCATGGCACAAACGTTGGACCGGTCCTGGAAGTCTTTAAAGGACTTCTTGCCAGCTCACATGGTTTTGAAGCACAAAGAGCGTGGACATTCCACTTTGCACCCCTCAGTGACACAATATGTGTTCATGTGGTGCTGGCATTCTAGCTTAGAAAGTCCAGATCCTCAAAGGTTCTGGAAGAACTGGAAGCGCTGCTCGGACCAAAAGACGACTAAAAACATGTGAGGACGAAGTAGTTTCAGGGTCGGCAAAAAAATCAAAAATTCTAGTTTCGGCGAAATACCTGTCTTTGTGAAACTGCACCACAATAAGGGGTTAACGACCTCAAAAGTCACATCACACAAATTCCTATTGGCAGGGGCACATCAAACATGATCCATGACACCCCGTTAATCACAAAAAACCCACGGCCATCTAAAGGCCGTGCTCCTAGTTATATATATATAGTATAGTTGCTTATATAGTTATTTATATAGTTATTTATATAGTTATTTATATAGTTATTTATATAGTTATTTATATAGTTAAATATAGTTAGATATAGTTATATATAGTTATATATAGTTATATATAGTTATATATAGTTATATATAGTTATATATAGACATGATATTCCTTGTGGGCGCAGCAATTTGAGCCATTCCCAGTTGGGTGTCATCCAATAGGGGTCCCCAGCACCGAGGCAAGTCTCTGGAGGATTGACAGCGCGGCCGGGGTTGAACGGCCACATATCAGAAAACACATGAACGAAGCTACATAATCATATGTACATATCATATATCATCATATATCTGCTTGCAGTCCTTTCTAATGTACGCAAACTTAGAGTCATTCACCCCCATGAAAACACTTCATATTATAGACAAATGATGACAGATGCATATAAACCCTTCATTTCATCCATAAAAAACTCAAAAAATCAGGGTTTTTGCTGGGTTCAAGGGCAGATGTATAAATACCCACCCTTCTGAAGACCTACATGGAATCCTAAAAATAGGGTCTGGACAATGATTTTCCTGTGGAACATTGCCTTGTTGCAGTTCTCGGCAGTTGGATGACTGGTAGTTGCATAGGCAGATATAACACCTGATTCATTTTTCGTTTGACAAATACATCATGCTTACCGCAGCATATGAGTTTTGCATCGTTTTGATGACATTCCAACCCCCAAAGAGCCGCTGCATCGAATCCTGTATGGATTGCCCTCCTTCAGGATGATGATCCCAACTGACACACGACTGGGCCACGGCTTCAATAGCGAAGTGTAAACGTCATAACCAGGCCGGGTAACTATTATTAACCATAGATTATCCATATATTAACCATGGATTAACCATAGATTTTCCATATATTAACACACAAACACACACACACAAGCAAGCCTTCCATGCAACTGGTGGAACATCCCCAGCTTTTTCAGAAATCGTTGGAAGTTCGTCCCTTGGCCGCTGCATCGTCCCTCCCTTCGACGAGAAGTACCTCGGCTGCAGAAACTGGCTGATCAGTTTGGGGAGAGCACTTGGTTTCAAGCAGGTGACACAGAGAAATACCCTCTGGTAAACTAACATAGCTATTGAAAATTGCCATAGAAATAGTTGATTTTCCCATTAAAAATGGTGATTTTCCATAGTTATGTTAGTTTACCAGAGGGTAAGTACAAGAACCATGTTTGTAAGGTCCACACTTTTTATTTCTCTCTCTCCGTGTTTGATCAAGTGTTTCTTTGGGGCATGACCAAGATGTATGACCAAGAATTATCTCAGCGAAAAGTCGGTATGACCAAGAAGTCTGCATCTGACTGTCAAACATACTGTTGTTTTGTGGTCGGATTTTGGGTCAAGAGCACTGGAATCCAGGGAATGTACCCATAGGATCCGAAGAAACCGAGATTTTGAGATGCTTAGCAGTTTGATGCAGTTTGGATAATTGAAGGGAAGCGGTCGCTGTTTGGTTCAAAACCTTTGGCCCGAACAAAACTCGTATTGGCATTTGCCAAACATTCCATCATTTGTCGTTTGTTCCGTTCTTTCTAGGCACCTGTGACTCATGATCTCACTCGGCACTTTTTTATCACCAAAAACACCCAGTGTTTTTTTTTCACGACGTCGTAAGTCCAGGAATCCGTAGAAAACAGGATGGCGATTTTCCACCATTTTTGGGATATCCCGATGGGCCAGGTTTTTTCTCAACCTGAAATTAAACGACTCCCCGACAGGACAGATGCAGATCCATGAAAAACCGGTTAAACCAGCAGCCAGTGGCCATTGGAATGGATCATCTGTCGACATATCCAGACAAATCCAGGATTTACAGGTGACGTTTTGTTTTGTTTGCAGTTGTGCGCCATTTTTAAGGGAAAAATCCTGGGAATAGTGTATGATTACAGTTGTATATTCTGTTCTTTATTTTTGCTCCCTAAAGCAAATCCAACTGCTGAAAGTATCCACAAACAACCTCACCAAAATGATAGTAACTTTTGCTTGAAGCCATCAGTATGATAACCGCAAACCAAGCTTGTTAGAGCCGGCTTTACTTGGGAATTGTTGGTAGTAAGTATGTGGGTCTGTCCAGAAGTTTTTAGTGCCCCGAAGTGGCGATTCTTGTGGAGAAGATGAGGTGGTTTGGGGGTGTCCGATCATGTTTAGGTCTAACCGCGCCAAGTGACTCAAACCCCCATCTTTGCTGGGCAAATCCTAGTTTCTAATGCTCAAATCGTCTTGAAATTATGTGAAGGTTACCCTCTGGCAAATTAACTTGTTGACCCTGAAAATCACGAAAAATATTTCATGGAAACTAGTCTTCCAACCCCAACAACTGCCAGGGTCCAACTGTTAATTTACCAGGCCGGGTATTTTTCGCAATGATGTTTGATGCTCAAATGGGGATGGGTCAATACCTACTATTACCATATTTGGGGGAATAACCATCTATTCACCAGCTATTTTAGAATACCTAGGGTTCCAGGGTTTTGACCCATAACCAAATCCCCATTTTTGATGGTTCACTGAAGCTGTTTGACACCAGTGAAATCATGGTTCAACCAGCCTGAACCCTTGCCCGATGAATCAATCGCAAAGCCCAGGCTCCTGCATCCAGCAGGGCTAAGCTAACTCGATTCGCAGTGGTGGAAGTCGGGCATAGTCGGGCAGCGGAGTTTGAAGAAACGTGTTTTTTTTTTTTAACTGAAACATAATTTTGCTGAAACATCTGGAACATGAATCTGGATGAATTATAATTAATGAGTTCTATCAGCTATTTTGAATGGGTTACTGAATGGATTTAATTCAGCCAGATGAATCAGCTGACCCTGGCTGAATCTGGAGAGTCTTCTGGTGAACTGTTCGGACAGATCCATTTTTTTCAGTCAAAATACATTGGCTTTTCGCTGAAACCAACTAGGACTTTACATGGTTTTAAACCATAGAAATTTAAGGGCAACATTGATGGGCTTCAACAAGCAAGGTGTTTTTTTTTGCGTCGGGTAAACCTTGGCGACCGGTATGAAGAACCAATAGATGGATATATATGGGATGTTCACCACCAATACTCAACAAACACGGGAATGCAAGAAAATCAGATATTTGGGCAAAGCAATATGATGTGTAATAACTGGGAGACAGTCAGACTTGGATCTAATCCTCCCGGAATTCCCTGTTCAGCATTGGATCTATGGATCTTTCTATTGGGATCCTTTTCTTGTTTTTTTGGGATCGGTAGAATCTTTTAGAGTTCAGAATGAACAGTTTATATCTACGGTGTCTCCAAGATGAAGCACGCAAATTGTGTGCCCTGACACCATTGCCCACTCCAGACCACTCCCTTCTCATCTTGGCTGAATTGGGCTGATTTGAAGTTTGTGAGCTATCCCAACTTGCATTGAACTGGGATAGAATTGGTGTACATATCCATGTTCCAGGCCATAATTCCAATCCAATCGGTCACGTTTTTTTTTGCATCTAGGACCGACAAATCTAATGTTTCGTAGACAGTAACTCATCCGCTTTTGAGACCCCCAATCTTGACCCATGCCAAAAACAACTTCAACAATTCAAAAAGTTCCCGACTGGGATGGTTGCAGGCTGCAACCCTGAAAGATGACTAAGTTTTGCTCCACCTTGGGTGACAAAAAACTGCAGTATCCTAAGTTTTTCCATGAAAAGATGCTGGATCCTAAAATCTCCTTGAAAAAGATCATTCAAGATCTTTCTAGAGTCTAAAGATGTCCAAGCAGACCTTTCAAGTCTGGCTTCAAGATGGTTTTTCACGGTTTTTCTACACAGCCGACATCCACCACCACCGTTTTTTTCGGGCAGATCAGGGTGGAGTCCAGGACCAGCTCCGGTCGCGGCGGGTTTTCAGTGTCCCAATGTGAAGCTGGCGAGCCCCGTGACCGGCGGACGGTTCACTGATGACGTTGCATGACGATGCACGTATGGTCGACATTTCTCCGGGAAATGACGATGTTGATAATCTTAGGGCCCTGTCGGGCGAATCCAGAGTTTCGCCTTTTTTTGCGATGCCGTTTCTGCAGAAACTGGGCTGATCTCCGGGTTCAAAAAGGCCCCCCCCCATAGGGAATTCTCAATGGCGCTTTGGAGGTGAATCACCCTGATGAATCCATATTTGGCGGCAAATGGGATGATCCCTGGTGACTGATGTGTATATATTGTTTGTGAGGCCAAAACGCTGTGTATTTGCAGATTTTTTTTGAGTCTTTGAAGATTTTAGCATCATGATTCATGATGATCTTTGGTTTCAAGAATTCTGCATGACACTTTGGAACGTGTGGAAAATACGTTGGAATATTGACACTACTGGGCCAAAAAGATGTTGCATTTCCAGGAAAACCGCTGGCTTTTTTGAAGGTATTCTGCTCATTCTAGATGTGCAAGTAACTTTTCAAAAAATGCTCTTCAAGACTGCTACATTTCAAACTAGACATTTTCTCATTGGAGAAACAGTGCATGTTGTGCCTGAAACCGCCACTTTGGAAATGCATTTCAATAGCTTCTATACTACATCACACATCTCAAACCAAACCTTTCCAAAACATATCACATGCTTACCAGAACCTGGCTTCTTGCAAGGAATGCTGCACTGTACTCTTGAAAGTAATAATATCACATCATTACAAAATGTAGTACATTTTCTATCAGACTTGCTACTTCTGTCAAACGAATACTGTCTTGTCTGCAACAGAAGCAGTTGTTTTCCCCAGCTACAGCTTATGCACGTTCTACAGGGAGTCTTGCATCTTCAAAAGGCATTAATATAAAATATATACTTCTTCCTTTCCCAGGAGTGCTGCCTTTTCAGGGGAATGCTACACTTTCAAAGAAATAATGCATTGTGTATATGAAAACCGCTACTTTGACATGCAACGTAAACTATAATTCTTCAAGATGCATCATTCATTCACAGGCATGTTACTTCTTTCAATGTATACGTAACAATAATTTGCATTTTTCAGCTGAAGACATGTTTAACCAAAGGACAACTAAGATCCTTTCAAGAAACACTCCATCTTTGGCTTTGGAATGAAAAGATTGCTTGAAACAAAAATGTACTCTGCAACAGTTTTTTTTGTTTCCAAAAATAAGTGCTGCATAATTCTTTGGAGAAATGTTCTTCCGAAGGATGAAGTAATGCGGCTTTTAAAGGATATGGCTACATCCTGAGAAACAAATTTACCATGCAGTTCTTTGGAACATACTGAAGATCTTCAAGAC